CGTCATTCATTTCACGATTGGGCGCTGTCATTCCTAACCTGATTAATAAACTACCGCACATGAGGTAACACATATCTTCGATCAAGAGTAAAGCACGATTATGTATCTCCTCATTCATCTCAACATCGTGATTTCTGGAAGTGATACGAATTTGATGTAAAATATCTTCTGACATATTATCCTTATATTTGTGCCACGGGTTACATGGGTTTGATAGAAAGCATGTCGAAATTATGATAGCGAATAATGTGCGTATCTGACTTGAAGATGCAGAGATAATGGCTTCAGCGATTGTCGTATCCCAATGGGTATCGTTTTCTAATAAGTTCAGTTCTTCACATGCAGCACGATATGTTGGGAATATTACACCATTAACAGTCCGTAGTGTCTCAAATGACGTTGGCCCACGCACATTTACCAGCAACAACCGCAAATAGAAACATTCATCATTCTTTGGATGAACTGTATACATACGACCAAGAGCATCAGTAGAACGCACATCCGGATACCCAGGAACCGCATCGCCTTGCTTCCGTCTTTGAAAATTCTTCGATGAAGCATTCCAAGTATAATAACGTGGCATCTCCGAGTAAAGCAAAGTTCGTAAAAAACAAAAAAAAAAAAAATACACTGTCGAACGGAATAAATAGTATCCTATGTCCGTCTCCTGGCTCTAAGCTACCTCCCCACCAATTTTCAGCCATATCGGTAAAGCCGTTCTTGAGTTATAAATAGTGTAACTAACACGACTTTCTTTTATATATATAGATTGTGACAATTATCAGGTGAACAAGAAGGTATGCTAACGGCGCTCAGCCCCCCCTTCCTTCTGATTCTGGGGGAGGGACTCAAAAGGACACAACGCACTTGCGACTCTTAAGTTGCAGGGGCGGCGGTAGTCACTTACCATCAGGTAACTCGTCTGGTGCTTTGGGGCTCTATAAGATAACTTTATGCAGAAGACATATTTAACGTAAAATGGTTTCTATCTCTCTCCAGTCTACCATACTTAGAGGGATCCAGAAATAAACGAAGTTTACCAACTTCGTTTATTACATTAAATGTGTATATTAAACTAGCCACACGCCCCGGCTTCGCACGAGTGCAAAAATTGTTTGTGTAACTTTTAAACTGTTCAATAAATTTTAGTAAGGCCGGTATTTCTTCGCCCATCACCTTCGTGTCCCACCTACTATTGTCGCTCGACCAGCGGCAGCTACAACCCAATAATTTTACCGGCTCATTGTTTTTATTTCGCATTATCTTCTAACCAACTCTATCAATTACCATGCTGGAAAAAGAAAACTATGTCCCTTAAATATCTATTTTGATTTAGCAATGTTTCTAATATGAATTATATTATTAAAGTACCTATACGTGAAACCTGTAGCCGTGGGTGGACGGAACAAGTTCTTTTTCCTCCATTTGACATAGTAGACCTGGGCGTGGTACCTGGATCGAAGTCAAAGTATCTGGGTTTCTTAAAATTCTTGTAAAATCGTCTCGTTTATTCGGAATCGTCTTTTGCGCAATTACTCTTAACTTATAGATCGACACAAACAATATCAACAATCAATTTTGACAAATATTTACAAAATAAATAACGTAAATTAATGAATGGGTATAGAAAATTCTTTTGTTTTATGCATGAGGGGGAAAACGAGCAGACGGGTCACCTGATGGAAAGCAACTACAGCCGCCTATAAACGCCTGCAGCTCAGATGTCACAAGCGCGTTGCCAGCCTTTGAGGAAAGAGTACGCGAGAGAGGAGTCCCTTTTACTGTCTAAGGTTAACTACGCCGATACGGTATCGGGCAAGCTCTTATTATTACAAACAGATAGGATGATTCAGAGAGTGCAAAATGCTAGTACGCGGTTCTCTTTTGTGATACCTCCACGGAGTCATATAACCCCCTTCGCTAATAAAAATTTCATTATGAAAATAAGGCGGAAACTTCACCTGGCATGCTTTATGTTTTGTAGTGTTAATTATCAAGAACACAGGACACCAGCGCTGCAAAAAGAAGGAAAATTTGACACAAACCCTATATCAACCTGTCTGGCCAGCGTGGTATAGTAGTCCAAAACCTCCTTTCTAAGAAGAGGCCTATATCCAGCAGTGGACTATTAAATGCTGTTGATACGAAGAACCATCTTACCTACATATATAATAAGATGTCAGAAAACACTGGGCGTCTAGTAGGCGTAGCAGCGGAAATAGGCAGTGCTCACTACCGCTATCCATTTCCCGTCATAGATCGGCTGCTTTCATGGATAGTTTCAGCTGGCTGTAAAATTTGGCACAATATTCTCCCGCCGTAAAGGTATGGTAAGGTATGGTAAGGTGAGATAAGTAATCTCAATAAGACCTTTCAGATTAAGGTTACGGCGGTAATTTGTCGACGCACAGAGGCAACTTGACATGGTAATCAGTAATATATTTAATTAACGGCTCACGCATGCAAAAACCAACTATTATCATGCTCATGTTAACCAGAACTAACTCTATAAAATACTTGGGAGTACATTTGGATGACGGATTGAAATGGGTTAAGCAAATCAACACGCTCAAACATAGAACGATGCGTCTCATTTGTACGTTCAAAGCGCTCCGAGACTCGGCCGATCTTAACACTCTTAAGATGGTTTATTACGCACTGTGCCAATCTATCGTCGGGTACTGCATCAATGCATGGAGCGGTGCTAATAAAACACTTTTTCTTGGAGTGGAGAGAATGCCGCGAGCGGTGTTGCAGGTAATGACTAGAAGGCCTTTCAGATACTCAACTTCCGACCCTATGCTGATTGCAAAGTACTTACCGTGCGACAACTCTTTGTGCTTCGATGTTCTCTAAGGAAACACAGCAGTATTCCCCTGCTAAATAGACAAACAAAAGAAGGAACTTACCACTGGGCACACCACAAACTTCGTTCGACTTCGTTTGCAAAGCACCATTATTAAATACTAAGCACGCACATTTATAAAAAAATACACAAATAACTCAATTTACTCGAAAGCTCGCATAAATGCTTATTTAACAATAATGTCTTTCGATCCTTTAAAGTAAAGTTAGATTATTAATAAATGTTTATTTTTTGCTATTGCATAGGCCGATTTACGTCCGATACTCATTAAAAGATCTGGTTGAAATCCTACGCTTCACATCTGTCAAGCAGACGCTGAACCAGGTCCTATTCGACTTCCTAGGGACTTCCTTTCTAGGGTATACCCCGTCATCCAAAGTCTAGTTGGACACCGAACTAGAAGAACAGTTCTGACGGAACAAGTTCTCAAAACTACTGAAAATTCAATCTAAAAACTGTAATATTACAAAGTATTTCATCATGAATAATAAAAAAGAAGATATTTTTTATTTTATCTTCCCGCATGTGACAACTCCTCATAACAACTTTGTTACGTACTCATGTGATTTTGCTAAGGTTTACGATTTGACGAGCACTCACCGGTGTAGCCCACCTGTTGTAATCTATTGTTGATGTATTCATCTTTATATAAGATCTAAGTAAATGCATATTTAGGTACATACATACAAGCAGTTACAGGAAGTGTGTTTGTAATAGAGGCACTAATTTTACAACCGGTTTTTTAATAAATGAGGAGAGTAAACAAAATAAAATACCTAGTCTATTTGAATTACTGTACTTCAACGGAAACGCAGTTTATGAGTACTCACAAATTACAAACAGACAAACGAAAAATCTACACATATTTAATTAATAATTAATTAATTTATGTGTGTCATCAGTCATGTACACCCATCACAAATTTTGTAACATTCACTGGTCTGTTTTCGGATTGTTTTAGTGGGACTAATCACCAACACACGCTCACCACTGTAACTCCTGTACACCAAGATCAACAGCAGTGACCCACGAACACACTGAGTCATGACACGGGAAGTCCAGGAAAAAATTAAGCTATCTTGGAACCCGCAACGAAATTAATTAGAAGAAAATTGGAGGAGTTAGGAATATAATAAATCCACTTCCCCCCTTATCAAAGCGGCAGACGAAATGAAATAGGCATAGGTACACCTTTTTAAACAGGGAAGAACCACGGCCAATAAATATTATGGGTCCTAAGTGAGCTCTTCTCAGGTTGTCGTAAAATTGAGTTTGCTCAAGTGTGTGTCTTTCTAAGGAAATGCCTATGTGAAACAGTAGACTATTAAAGGCTGCTGATGCTGGTGATGACTCATTTTAAGGATATAGGTCTTACAGTAGTCGCATATTATGATGTGTTCTGACACCTCACCAAACATCTGACGGCCAACTCTAGCACGTGCGGTGCTAGAGTTGGCCGTCAGATCCGCCTTTCTAAAGAGAGGTATTCGGGCAGTCTAATTTTCGACCACTTTATTGAGCAACTGGGGCCGTATATCGGCAATACGAGTAATGCAGCGAATGTTGGTTTACAAGTGATCTGTGGTTTTCCTGCGTAAACGAGTGATTTCACATACCCCTAAAGAAAATAATCCATAGGTGTGAGATCACACGATCGTGGAGGCTGGTTCACAGTACTCAATTACGAAAAATTTTGGGCTTATCAAATTGATGGTGTCGCGCGCTGCGTAGCATGTTGCACCATATTGTTGAAACCAAAACTCTGTCCCATCAATACCATTCAAATGAGGAACAAAGAAGTCGGCAATCGTGTTGCCGGGAACATTGGGGCACATCATCATCTTAAAAAATAATGGCAAATGATTCCACCTGCCCATAAAGCGCTCCAAACAGTGATTTTCAATGGATGTAAGGGCGTCTCAACAAAGGCTTTTGGGTTTTCTCCACTCCAAATCCTGATTATTGACGCAGTCGTTTAACGACAAATGAGCCTTATCGCTAAACAAAATTTTGCATTGATTGCAACAAAGAAAAATGTTTAATTAGGAGTTCCAGAGAAAAAAAAAAGAAACAGAATAAGAGGATCAAGCTAAATATTGTTTTCGGCCCATTCACCGAACGTACGGCGCGCATAATGGCCACGTGGTTTCAAGTCTTGCACAAGTTGGATCTTGTGCGATCGCAAGCCAAGATCTTTCACACAGTGGATGCGCACAGACATCACCAGTTGCTGTGCTCGCTGAAGAATCGAATCACTATACAGCTGCAACTACTTTTTCTGTGCGCACTGTATGGCGTCTTTATGGATGCTGATTATCAATTAAAATGTGCGTGGTGCGAAATCGCTCAATGGTTTTACGAAAAACTGTTCCGAATGGACGATTATGTCGACCGTAAAATGGATGACATTAAGTTGTAGCCGCTTTTCTTCTCAGGCGGACTACTCACCGGCTGACCCAGTGGAGAGATCTATGAGATTACCTCAGGGCGCCTTCTAAGAGAAAAGAAGTGTGTGCGTGTGGGAAACCTACGGGACTCTTTAGAGGAAAACAACTTACACCTCAGTCATACATACATGTATATTTCAAAACAAAATTAAATTTACAATAAAAAAAAATCAGAGGGTATAAAAAAAAAACCGCAGCGGAGCGCGTCAGAGCCGAGCTGATGGTGCTCGGTGCCACCTCGTCGTCCCTCCAGGAGGTTACTTCCTCTTCCGCCCGAGTCGGCTATTTATATTGGATATGGATAAAAGTTGAATAAATTACAATTATAAGTTTAAGTACGTAACTCTTGGGTACGGCTGTCCGCTTGCGTCGTGAGCCGCGCAATCACCAGCTTTGCCAGAGGGTACCGAGAAACTTGAGTCTGTACCAGAAGGCCACAAAAGAGCAAGCACACCGTCTAAGACTGACCGTCTTGACCCCGAAATCTGGGACCCTACGAATGGATTAGCACTCATATAATTAAACAGGTTCCAGAAACAAATAGGTTTAAGTAGAATTAAGAACATACTCACCACTTTAGTGTGGGTACTTTGAACAGATAATATATTAAGAAAATCAAATCACACAGCAATCAAAACACTATATAAGATCGGAAGGCACGAGATAGCAGTGTCTCCCGTGGCAGAAAGCCGGACTTATATATCCTAGGTTCAGGAAGCTTCCAGACTTTATCCCTACTCAACATTTTACTTTGACATTTAACATCAGTGAACACAGAAGATCAAAACTGTAGTTATAAACTACCTTAGATAAATTAAAAACAATGCAACGCGGCTAATAGATGTAGCTTTTAACAAGACCAACAAATGTACAAAAAAAATAACTGTTACAAAGTTTGGCGAACTGAGGGCGAAGTGCGAGTTTATTTCACATCATCTCGATCGTCACGGTGACCGCGTTTGGCACTGCGATTGGTCCACACTGAAATCTTAACCAATCACCACGCGGAACGCGCTCGCCGTCGAGAGCGATTTGACGTGAAATAAACTCGCACTTGGTACTCTGAACCACGATTTTCAAACGTTGTTCTGAAGTCTATTCATTGTGAAATAGCAAAACGTACTGACAATACATCAACTGTCAACTGTCAAATTGACAGTCATTGGAAAAAGCGTTGCCAATTTAAAAAGCAAACCTCAAATTTTACCCGTTACATACACATTAAATATAGAAAACATACAAATTTGGAACCAATCAGTTGCAGATTATACAAACGTTTGTTTCGACCCGGGAATTGAACCTGAGACCTCAACACAGCAGTCGTATATGCTACCACTGCATCACCAAGGCAGTCTCGCCGAGGCGTGATTAAATGTGTGTATAGGTATGTATGTTATTCCTATAGGATTAGATTAGCTGTCTTCGTATGCTTTTGTTCTACTCTTTTTCTTAATCCCCAAAAATACTATCTAACCCGTGCATTTTGGTTTGCGTCACTCAAAAGGAATGAATTAGTCAAAGTCAAAGTTTATTTAAAGTCAAAATTAACCCCGTTTTTGTAAAAAAATTCATTGATTCTTCTATTAATCGTAGCATGATAGATAGTATAGCCCTTCACAATTTTGAATCAGTAGTTACTGAGATTATGGCGTTCAACCAAACAAATAAATTCAGCGTTGTAATATTAGTAGCTAATACCTAGGTACATATTTCTAGTGCCTATCTGGAATATCACCTATTATTTTTAAAGTTACTATCTGTACCCTGTCACGCTTCCCTGTGGCACATTGTGAATACAGTAATGAGAAAGGAGGAACAGATCTGTCGTGAAAAATAGCTAAAAACAATCTTTGATGTGGTTTGAATTTCGTGTCAAAATTTGAGCTCAATCGGTGGAGAAATTTTTAAGTTTTCGAAGTGTACACAAACCAAGTTAAGATTTTTAAATATAGACTAACTACCCGCGACTTAGTTGGCGTGGAATTTGAAAAGCTCTGCCTTAGTGGGTTCGATTCCCGGACCGGGCAAAATTTTAAAGGGGTTTTCTGAGAGGAAAAATAGTCTACGTTACCCCTTATATAGACAGCTACCTGGTAGTTAAATATTATCAAAATTAGTCCAGCCGTTTAGAAGATTACCCGAACAAACAGACAGACAGAAAAATTTTAAACTGGTTTTTAGCCATAGATATCAATATCGTGCATAGATGCATGCATAGATATCGTGCAAATGACCGTGTGAGCATGAAAAAAAGCCTATTATTTTGACATTACAAACAGACACTTCTATTATTATTTAGGTATTTGTATAGATAGATATACCTGAGATAAATCTGTCTGATTGTTTGTTAATATATCGCAGATAAACCACGGAGTTGATTGTAATAATCTTGGGCGTAGTGTAGGACCAGGAATATAGGTTAACTGTCATTATCTCCAGCTGGAGTAGAAGACTAGTCATAAAGACACTTGACTACTTGACACAATACTCACCGATTCCCAACTGCCACTATAATGCTAATAATGACAATTTTATTCAACTGTCGGGCGACTCTTATTCGAGCAAAAGTCGGCTAAGTATTTTCAGTGTTTTTTTTTAAACTTATATTTCATTATTATATGAATGTGAAGAACCTTTAGCTCTTATTAGTAGAAGTATCGTGATGATGAGGATATGGATGCAAATGTTGAATTGTATCTATTCCTGTGAGGATGTATTATATTTACCTACCAAGGAATACTGGAGGTTTATTATCAACATGAGCACGTTTATGAATATCTATCACAAAACAAATTACCGTTTGTTAATAACTGCTAAATATATTGATATTTTAAAACGAAATAATATTACATTACACTGATAAGTTACACACATCAATACAAATTTCCACCCAAAACCTATACACATAAAAATTATCTAATCCTTAAAAATAAAAAAAAGTTGGAAAACCATACAGTCTACGCGGCTACGGGCTACGCGCTACGGAGGGGCGGAGGGGAGAGCGGGATAAAGGAGGCGGTGCTAAACCCAGCCCTCAGAGAGTCTCGCGAATTGGCACCTCCGCGGCTCGCCGTGTCTCGTCGTGCCAGACAACGCCTCCATGCCAGTCGCGTTCCGACCTCCGACGGAGCACGTCGCGTGTGATTGAAAACAAACTCGTATCGTGTTTAGTGTTTGTGTGTGTCATGTTGGGAATAGCTGGAGCCTCGTGCTAGGTCATGTCACGAAGGAAGCAGAGCAACCCCAAACCACTGAAACGTAAGTTCCTGGCACTTTGTAAACTTTAAACAACTTTTTTCGCGTTTAAAATTTGAACTCAAAAGTTGTTACCTAAAAAAAGTTGTTTAAAAGTTTAGTTCTAAATTGAAAATACTTTCTTACATATTGTTGTTTAATTTTTTTATGACAAATACTTGTTATCAAAACTTTTTTATTTATAAATAACTTTTTAACGATAATATTTATTCGTCACGTACTTTAGTCTGTTAAAATCATATAATTTAACTCTTAGTTTAACTGTAAAGTACTGGTATGTAATTAATTTCAAGAGTTTGAATTTTAGGAATTAAACTTAGGTGTTTTTTTTTTCAACAATGTAAATGTACCTACGATTTAGAAAAAGTTAAGGAGCCTATAAAATCATAAGGTTAGTGTTGTTCTTATATGAATTCTGAAAGTAATTAAATCAAATCACAATCTAAAGGTTCAAACTCTATCTCCTTATCAGTCCTACCTATTTGAGCGTTTAGTTAGGTACCTATTATATGTTACCGAACATTGACATATTATATGTACTTAAGAACGCGATAATATGAGGTTAGCGGGAGTTTCAAAATATTACATTTAATAACATTCTGTACACATCATCATCAGCCTATCGCAGTCCACTGCTGGACATATGCCTCTCCCATTGCACGCCACTTAGATCGATTTTGGGCTTCTCGCATCCATCTCGTGAAAGCCATCTTACGCAAATCATCAAATTGTAAACAAATATGTAGATAAATATTATTTACTATTTAAATAACGTTATTAATAGGTGATATATACGGGGGACTGCGACCAGGGCCAGTGTAACCTGGTCGAAAAGTCAAGTAATTTACGGGTATGTATAGTTATGTATAGTTTATTACTTCTGGAATTAACGCGATAAACCTATATAATCGCGTTAATTCCAGAAGTAAAAATTACATTTCTCGGAACCCGAGAATTTAAAATTCACGTACATCTTCTGAATGTTAATTACCTCTATTTAAACAAACAAATTTACGGAAGTACATTTTAAAATACTTAAAATATATACGTACAAGAAGTGTAGAATGTAATGGTTTAAATTACAAAACATATAAACTTAAAAGTGTATTAACGAATACATGAAACTATAAGGGTCAAATATATATTTTGACTAGTAAAAAGAATAATATATCTCACAACACACAACACAATTTGCTTATAAATTTCTTAATAAATACATGTTTTAGATATATTACATATAGACACAACAAATGATCGTGCTCATCACACACCGTTTGAACTGGGTGGTAATCGAACCCGCGGTCACGGCTTAGCAGGCGGGACTTCTCACCATTAGACCAACAGGCCATTTGTCAAGACCGTTTATGAAATAAACCAAGACATTAAAACGATCGAAATTCGACCACCAGCTCTAGTATTCATAAATACCACAATAAAATTAGGATATTTGTGAAACACTCATTTATCTATTCATTATAATTGATTTGAATCTTAGTGATTAAATCTTTATATTAGTATATTTTAGCATGTTAATGAGCAAATTAAAAATAGACAACTGTTTTATTATTGATACTATTAAATTAGGTACCACTAACAAATTTAACGATTTTATATAATTCAACGTATAAAAGCTCAAATTAAAATCATAAAATTTCATTTTTTTATTTATTTCAAAGTTTTAAAATCACATTAAATATAAAAATCTCTTAATGAAGTG